CCAAAGGACTTCACCGTTTACCCTGAGAGGATGCCTGGGAGAGCTGCTTGCGGATCTAGACGCTGCCAAGGTGCCACCCCAGGTACACGATCCCCTTTAAGTGGAGTGTGTCCAAGGATGGACGAAGTCCTCAAGAAATCAGCTGCCTCGTAGTGGTTAGATTTTGCATAACTTTTTATGTCACTTTCTCTTTTTTGTCTTCTCTCTCCGTCCTCCCTTCCTCCCTCCTCCCTACTTTCCTGCCTTCCTTGTATTTGTTGATTCAACAAACATTACTGAGCACCGACAATGTGCAGGGTCTGATTAGGAACTGAAGATTCAGCCGGGGATAAAGAAGCGGTCCTTGCTTCCGTGGGGTCTATATGCTAGTGAGCGGGAGAGGTCATGAACGCGGGAACTCATCAATTAAGGAAATATCCTCAGATGTTAGACGCGAGGAAGGCAGTGAACAGGGTGCTGTGACAGAGAATGACGCGGGGAAAGCATGTCATTTCTTACGCACTGAAACAGCTGTAAACGGGCGGTGGTCTGCAGAAGTGTGAGTAACAGTGAACCAGCCTTTGGGGGCAGCTCCTAGAGGAAAAAGCTCGGGTTCGTCTTCCTGGCAAAGGAGGGAAATGAAAACGTAAAATGCCAGGGCAGTTTACCTTGTGAGTAACTCGGAGAGTAAGGGCCCCCACCTTGCTGATTGCAGTATGTGCAGTGCACGGCGCTGTGCCGGCACACAGAAAACGCTCCAAAAGCAACAACTGATGGGAAACCTACTGACCCTGCCAAACACGTGTTTCTAAGACCAGTTCTTTCTTTCGTCCTAGGGAGAAGGAAATCCAGCCGTCTCTTCCAGAGTGATTTCCAGACACCTCTCCATACGTGGCAGACTTGGACGGCTTCGGGCAGAGCCTCCGGGGAGGCACTGAGTCAGGAGTGGCAGCGAGCGCAGGGGCGCACGGAGCGCTCCCCTCCCGGCCTCATGTGGGAGGTCAGACCCCATGGGGAGCCTCTCGGAATTATCAAGACGCCGACGCTGGCGGATTGGATGTTTGGGTAAGGAGTACCTCTTGGGGCCAGATTGCTATTTACCAGAAGAAAATGAACACTCTTGGCTCACCCTGGGAAGGGTTCATTAGGAAAACACAGTACCCAATTACAGCATTTCCCCTCTAGTAATTCATTTAATTGTGCGCACATGTCTCCTACTCCATTAGACCATAAGCTTCTCTTGTGACAACTTAAAAAAATCTGCAGGAAGAAGGGGTCAAATCTTGAAGCTGTATTTTCCTAAGTGTATGCTTTGAGATGACAGGTTTCACATTAACAAAATAGCATTTTCACTCTTTCCAGTAGGTTTCACACTTTTTATTTACTATCATCAACATTATCATGCTGCTAGGTGGCTTTGGGGCGGCGACTGAAGACTATGGTCAGGCCAGCTCCTGCTCCCCACGTGTACCCCAGAACCCCCGGCCTCACCACTCTTTCTTGTTGATTCTTTAAATACCCAATGTTTAGCATATAGTAAATAATTGTTGCACTGAGCATAAACACTGAGAATAAAGAGGCAATTTAAAAAAAGAAAGTGCACAGTGTCAATCTTATTTCCCAGTCCTTGTATTTGGAGCGTGTTTCCCACGGTTAGTTATTTTCAGCATTTCGAATGGACGTACAACAAGCTGCAACAGGATAATCACACTTAACTCAAAAAATTCACTTTCATGTCATCTCAGAGTATAGACTGGAGACCACAGGGCAGAGCAGGGGGCGTACTGTCTTGGAATATTTAAGTTTGATACTTAAATACGTAAGTATTCATCGAGTGTGTGAACCACAAAGCTGCCCTTCCGGCTGGGTGCAGGTCGGACATCTGTACCTGCTGTCGCAGCCCTCCCTCTCCGAGCCAAACCGACTGAGCCCCAGAGCCGCCAAACCTTCTGTCAGGCCAGGGGCCAGAGGCAGAGGCCGCAGAGCCCCGGAGATGACCGTCACACGAGCCCGCGAGCTCCCCCTCCCCAGGGCACAGCGCTGGAGGGGCCCTCTGGGCTGCTGCCAGCAGACAACGTTGTGTTCCCAGCTTAATTTAACAAAAAAGAAAATGTAAGTTGAATCCAAATGAAATATAATTCATTCTGCCTTTTATCCCAGTGATTTCAGTGGGCAAAGGAGACAGAGAGCAAGTGAGGTGAGTCCTCAGCTATCACAATGGCTTTTAGGGCAGTGAGGCGGGTGGGCTGGAACCGGAGGTAAGAGCGCTCCCCCGGCCCTGTCCCAAAGCCCCGTCTTAGCTTGCAGGAGAAGAGGGGGGTGAGGGTGAATTGAAGCCCCACGTCACTGATACCCTTCCCCAGAGGAGGGCTCCTCCCCTGGAAAATCACTGCCGTGAGCAATGGGGAGTCAGAAGATTCCTGAGTAGGGGAGTGGCAGGACCAAAGGAGCATTTAGGAAGCTGAATAAATACTTGTCGAATGAATGGATGATTCAGATAAGATCAAGACAGAGATATGAATTTGGCTACTTCTGAATATGGCTTTCAACAAAGGATTTGAAAAAGGGATTGGGAAATTATATCCACTCAACGCCATACTTACAGTTTTAGATTATTTATAGCTTTCTATTTGCTTATTCTTTAGTTAATATAACAAAAGTGTCAAACAGATTTGACTGACGGATGGGAGGAAGCACAACTCTGCTTTTGCCCTTACTGATGACACATACTCTGGGTGGTAACCTCTCACCGTCCTCGATAAGCACACAGGCAACACGCAGTAATTAAAAGAAGTAACTGAGACGCGTGAGAACAGCCTGCACTGCGCTGAGCCACTTGGTCACACAGTCGCCTCATGTTGTGTCACGTACGTCAATTTGTTAGTAAATACGCACAGTGATGTTTGCCCCCGGGTTCCTTCTTCAGGTGGCTGTGCGCCTCCGATGGATAATCACTCCTCCCTTCGTGCCTGAACTTGCTGATTCTCTCCAGGGTGCAACGTGATCCAAGTGCTGGATGCATAAAATATGGGACTAAACAGACAGACACGGTCACCGTGGAAGTGGCATTGCTCTGTGCCCCACAAGCCTAGGAATCCTGATAAATTCTATTTTGTGTGACTTACACCAAAAAAGAAAAAATACACTGTGGGTTTGTAACTGCATACATTGCTTATCAAATATATTCATGGCCGGACAGAGCTTTTGACTAGGCGGTGACCAAGCTCCCTTGACTGTGAGAATAAAACACTCTGCTCGTAACCGCACAAATCCAAAGATTGGCAGAACTCTCGTGGGTTAGCTTCTGCTTCATCCTTTTGAAAACTCACTTCTCTTTCAATACCCCCATGCTTCCAACGCCTGGTGAATAGGTCACGTTCCCGTCCCAGCGTGACCTCCGGCATTGCCGAAGCAGGCAGTGGGCATCTTGCTGGAAGCCATTCCTGCCCCGGAATAGCCAGCAATAACTTATCTAGATGCGAAAGTGAACCACATAAATACAGCCTTCTTAACCCAAATGCTATGTATCTTCACCTCAGTAGCCTTTCGGCTGAGTCCCAAGCGACCCGTGGCCTCCCCAGGACCGGCCCACGGGAGGGCGAGTGTCACAGAGGGTCAGCCGGAGGGGGAAGGACTGTGGCCAACGGAGCTGTGACATGTGAATACATTACCTGGGCCCCAAACAGGGCCTTGAAAGGGGTCTGTGCCCACAAGGGGCCTACATGTCTTCAACCTCAAGGTGAGTCTGCCTTGCCAACCAGGGCGGAGCCATCCTTCCACAGCACACTCGTGCTTGCAGGGTTGGCGCACCGGCGTGCTGTGGGCCAGTGCAGGTTAGCGTGCTTCTCGGCTGGCTAACCTCCAACAAGAGTCAGCGACTGAGTCAAATTTTCCTGTTTTATTCCGCAGCCTAAGGCCTGAGGGAAGTTACTGACCTCACTATGGTGATCGTACACCGCTGAAAGGTGTCTGACTTAGAGATGGAAGGCGCTGTGGTAAACTAGCTCGCAGGAGACTTGTGGAAGGACCACGAGTGAAGGGGCGGGTGGTGCTCAGACACCGGGAAAATCAAGGGGAGCGTGTAGGGTGCCTGAAGGATCGGTTTAAGGGCTCCCTGCTGCGCGCTTGTGTTCTGTAAGGTAATTGCCGCGGGAACGGCGCCAGCTGGAGGCGACAGAATACTCAACCAATAGACATAAGGGTGTTTCACTCTTAGAACGAGAAGTCTGAAGGCAGGTGGCTTGGTAATTCTGCTATTTTCGGACTCCGGGTCTTTGTCTCTGTGATTCTCATGGTCAAGAATGGCTGTCACAGCTCCACGCGTCATCCATCCAAAGGCGGCAGCAAGAAAGTGTGTGCTCTTCTCCTTTCAGCAAAGAGGAAACATCTTTCCAAACAGCTTCCCGTCAGAATTCCCCTGTAGGTCCCCCGGCCCACGCTGGGCACCGGGTCAGCCCTAGGGGTGAGGGGGACGGGATGGCGGGTGTGCGGCAAAGGGCCGCGGGGGCCCCGTGGTGGGCTTAGTCACGCTTCATCTTGCTGGGCTGGACATACGGCTTCCCTGAGAAAAGGATTCTCTGTAAGGAAGAGAACGGGAGTGGCTGTTCGGAGGAGACGAACGTTAGATGCAACTGGAACTTCTGGGCTGAATGTCATAAAACCACTCTTCACCTATGAATAATTAAGCTAACAAATTGAGAGCATCCATAAACACGAGCTCTCATGTATTTAGCCACTGCTCTGTGCCAGGGACGGGTGTGAGCTGTTAGCCCAGTCCCGCAGGGGAGACACTATTGGCGTTATTCTCAGAGAGGCCAGGGCGCCTCCCCACCGCGGAAACAAGCAGCTCCGCTTGACCTCTCTCATCAAGGTCCTCGCCTTTCTTGACTTCAAGTAAGTCAAACCATATGAAATGCTCTCTTTTGCTCCTGGCTTCTCCCTCTCAGCGTCCGGCCTGGGACTCGTTCATGTTGGTGAGGGTGTCCGCAACTCATTTCTCATTACTGCGCGTTGTTCTGTTGTTTGAAACTATCACAATTTATTTGTCCCTTGTGCTGTTGGTAGATACTGGGTTGCTTCTAGCTTGGAGATATTCTGAACAGAGCTGCTTTCCACACCGTGACTAACGGGTCTTCTGGTGGAGAGAAGCCCTCCTTCCTGCTGGGTTTACGCCCAGGACAGCACAGTGAATCTATAGCTCTAGTGGAGACCCCTTAAACCTGCTGGAGATTTCCAAAGTGGCCGTACCAAGTTACAATCCGACGGCAGCTTACAAGACAACCGCCTGCCAGTGCTTGCTTTTGTGATGCAAGGAGGTAACGGGGGAAGCTGGACAAAGTTGTCAGCACTGGGGGAAGGTGGGCAGGTTGAAATTTTAAGTACGGTGGTTAGGATAGGCTTTCTTTCTTTTTTCTTTCTTTTTGAAAAGGTGAAATTTGAGCAAAGTCACGAAGGAGGTCAGGGAGTGAACAACGGAGGCGTGTGGAAAATGTCCTGAGCGGAGGGAAGAGCCAGTGTGACGGCTGCGGGGAAATGCCGGCTGCACTCAAGGAGACAGTGTCCAGGGTGTCCCTCCTTCGACAGCAGGGAGGTGGGGAGACGCAAACGCAGGGCACGGAAGATAAGGAGCGTCTGGAAGACGAGCTGGAAGCAAGGGAGCTGGAGGCAGGAAATCCTGGAAGGAGACTGTAATCCTCAAGCGTGGGTGAGGGGCCAGTGCCAGGGTGGGGGCGACGGGGGTGCTGCTGAGAAGGCAGCTTGAGAGGATGTGGTGACTAAGGGATCTGGGGGCGATGACGAGGGAGGAGTTAGACTCTGAAGATTTTATCGCTGTGGTTTCCTTCCCCGTCGTCCAGAGGAGCTGACGGCCCGGCCCAGAGCCCCAGCCCTCCAAGTCTAGTGTCACGCCAGCCGCGGCCACGAGAGGGCTCCCCGCCCGGTCTGCTCAGCATCCCGGGAGGGCAGCTCTGCTGGTTAAATCCAAGTCAGGCTGGTCCCCGACGGCACGTGTCAGGGGAGCTGGGCTTTAGGACAGTCAGTCTTCACTGACGTGGAACCTGGGAAGGTCTGCCACATGACTGACAAGGACCGCAAACTGGGTCTAAGGTGTAGTGGTGAATTACAGGGTGCAGGCGCTGGGGCGGGAGGGCGGGGGTGGGGGCCCGGGCTCCAGGGTCTGACTGCCATTTCCGTCTTGCCAGGGCTCGCTCGGCCAGGCCAGCAGTTACGCTCCTCTCCTGTCCCGGGCGTGAAGTGTGTGTGCGCGTACGGGCTAGTGTGTGTATGTAAGTGAGCACATGTGCGCGTGCCTGTGAGAGCGGGCGGCGTGTGTCTGTGCGCCTGCCCGGAATGCGAGTGCTTGTTGCTTGGCTTCAGCCCAGAAGAGAAACAGATGATGAGGTGAACGGAAGTGAACTGGAGGGAGTCTGGGCTTCAGCACTAATTAGCAGCTATCAATTTTGACAAGAGGACATACACTAGTCGTAAATGAGCAGAGAAGGGAAAACCCAGGGACTGGGGCTGGGCAGGAGGTTGGGAGGCCACCAGCAGCCCCCGGGGCAGGAAGGCATCGCAGGAGCCCGGTGCGGGGTCAGGCAGGCGGCTCCTTCCTGCCCTTGGGCGCAGGTGAGTGTGGACCCGCCCTGGCCAGCTGCTCTTCGGGCTGGCCCTGACCTCACTGAGGACCACATCAGTTTCTGACGGGCTGACAGTTACCGACCTCCCCCGCTGGGCGGTCCTCTCACCCCCTCTGCCAGGCTGGCCCCCGTCCACGTTTCCTGGGACGTGGTCACGGCCATCTTCCTCACCGGCTGCTGAGAGGCCCCGGCTTCGACCCGTGTCTGCACTGGTCACGGTGCCTCGCCCTTAGGCGCTCCTCTTCTTCCTGTGGAGGGCTGGAGGCAGAGGCACGGACCACTTGGTGGACTGCTGAGAAGGAGCGGTTCCTTGATTTCCAGATGTGCGTATTTACATTTACGTGCAAGGAGGCGGGAAGGCCGCGGGGGAAGGCGATGTCGGAGGCCCCACGGCGGGTCTTTGCTCGGTGGCAACAGCTGGGGCCCTGCCTGTGGGTGTCCCTCAGGCCTCACTCACGCGGGCTTCAAGGACACGGGTTCAGTGGGGCAAGAGCGTCCCCTGAGTTGCCGAAGTGCCTGCCCTGCCTGCAGAGAACAGGGTCTCCCCGGGGCCCTGGCAGCCCTGTGAACACGCCCCGGGGCGCCAGGCCCCTCGTGCGCAGGGCTCTGAGCTGGTCTTTTCAAATCTCTCCGTTCACAGCAAGTTCTCTCCACTTGCTCTCTGAGTGAGCGGGGGCAGGGGGGCTGGGAGGGCGCACGTCCTCATTTCCTTCACAGCCCAGTACAACTAGGGAGCGGTCGCTTCTCTGCAGGGATTGTTCATGACCCTCTGGTTTGCTGACTGTCTTTAAACAGTCCCTGTTCGGCTGCCCTCCGCGGGCACAAGTGGCTCGGCCCCAGCTGGTTTTCTTTCTGATGCGGTTCTGCCTTCACAGTTTGCTAGAAGGAACGGAAGTGGGAGTTCTCAAGTTTTAGTAAGAAAAGCATTCTCCTGAGGAGTTTGTTTTAAACGCAGGTTTCTCAGGCCCCACCCAAATCTATAGAATCAGAATTTCTGGGCTGAGGCACAGAAACTTGCTTTTGCCAAGCCCTCCCCTGTCACGCCCCACCCCAAGATCCCAGGTCAGGTGGTCCACAGACCACTGGCCATGAGACATGGTGCAAAAGGGGTGTCTTTTTTAATGCTGAGTTTTGAGAGTTCCTTACAAATTCTAGACCCAAGGCCTTTTTCAGATACGTTTTCTCCCCGTCTGTAACTTGGCTTTTCATTCTTCTTACAAGGTCCTTCACAGAGTTTGTAAAAGAAGGTTTAAATTTTGATTTGGTCCAATGTATACATTTTTCCTGTTATAGGTCATGCTTTGGTGTCAAGTCCAAAAATTCTGCCTAGTCCTAGGTCAAAAAGACATTCTCCTCGGTTCTTTTCTAGAAGTTTTGTGGTTTTGTGTTTACTCTGAGCCCGTGACCCATTTTGAATTAATTCTGTACAAGGCGTGAGGCTTATGTCCAACCGCTCCAGCCCCGTTTATTGAGAAGGCTACTTCTCCCCCACTGGATCGCTTGTCCTCTTTTGTCAAAAATGGTAATTGGGCACATTTGGGCAGATCTGTATCTGGGCTCGCTATTCCTTCCACCAGTAAATACTACGTTGTCTCAGTGCTGCAGTTAAATATCGCACCTCAGCGTTGCGATGAGTGATTCTCCTGTTTCAGTTTTGTTTTTCAAAATCGTTTTGGCCACTCCAGGCCCTTCCCTTCCTGTGTACATTTGAGAAGAGGCTTGTCTAGGCCTGCAAGGAAGCTTGCTTAGATTTAGATAGGAATTGCATTAATATGGATCAGTTTTAAGACAGGATTTTTTTGTTTTGTTTTTATTTATTTATTTATTTATTTTTGCAGAAGATTTCACAAAAGCAATTCTAAAGTCTTACCTGCTCAAGGACTTCCTCCGTGAGGTATGTTTTTACTTCCAGCCAACACGGTCTCTCTCCTGGTTACATGAAGACACTCTGTGCGTAAAAGCTGGGGGGTGTATTTGGCTTCAGATTCACTGATGGACTTTGCTCTCTCCTGGAATCTGGAATCTACGCAGACTCGTAGGGGTTCAGAATAAGCCTCCCCCGAATGTGTCACTTTTATGTGAGGATTATTCTGAGCTGAAGGCAGTCAAGACCCTGCTGGCTCAGGAGGAACCACTGCCCCTCCCTCAGCTACCCAGAAGAATTTAGACCGGAGATTTTCCCCAGAAAAGAATTATTACCAGAGATAAGCTTACCTACATGGCCACATCTGTACAGCAGAGCACACACCTTACCACCAAACACTTGCTCTTCTTCTTGTTGGAAGATTTTTCTCTCTTTAACAGACTCAATGCTTTATTTTTTTCATACTTTTAATTTTTATTTACTTACCTTTAATGGAGGTACTGGGGATTGAACCCTGGGCCTGGTGCACACTAGGCACACACTTACCTCTGGGCATGCTCAGTGCCTCAAACTGGCTTCCTCAGGGCCCACTGTAGCTTCCTGGGATTCATACACTGTCCCGAGGAAAACAAAATAGAGATGACTTAAGAGAAGTAGGGTGTACTTCCCCAGTCTGTGAGAACCAAGTGTTTCCTTCGGTAAAATCGATCCTCCCCTCTTCTTTGCCGGAGCAGGAAGCCTGCGTGGGCGTGAGGGGCTGCTGGAAATAGGCCTCTCGCCAGCCCCCTCAGGGCTATTCAGAGGGCTGAGCACTGAAGAGCGCGCGCTGATGGCCTTCACCCTTTCCCTCCCTGCTCCTCGGTGTCCTCTGTGCTCCCTTCCCACTTCCTCCCCACGAGGGAACCAGCTCTCAGCATCAGATCCTCCTGTCTTGACATCTTTTCCTCCTGGTCACAACCCGAGTTCTCCAATCTGGTTTTTAGTCATTGGCCCAGGTACTTGGCCTGGTAACTTGGGTTTCAGTTTCAGTTACCAGTTAACACCAGACGAAGTAAACTCAGTTCCCCTTCTGTCCTCGTCCAAAAGTTGGCCTCAAACTACTTCAGAAAAATCTCTGCCTCCTCCCTTGGCCAGTCTAAGGTAGGCCTGCTCCTTCAGTGGTAGGTTCACACTGGCTTTGTGAAGGGCGTCACAGCAGACAGCTGTGAGCGTTGTCAGGCAAGCGTTTGACAAGAAGGACCGTGTATCCAAAATTTGCCCTCAGCACGTGGGACAGTTTGGGGCATCTCCAGGCGCTTTCAGGAGTTCTTTACCTGAATTTATAGAGGCAATGAAAAGATTTGTTGAGAATGACTAACCCCTACATGCTGAATGAGAACTGTTTCCAGTTCACTAAACAGTTAACTACATCAGTTATCATTTAAATATGGTATCAACACAGTCAGCTTCAAGTGTGTGTTGTAACTTAAAACGCCTCCATCCTGGGAATTAATTACAGCTTTGGTCAAATCTGGCTAAAGAAATGACTATCCAAACCCGAAAAAGACTTCTTTCCCAACTCCTTCCCCATCATCCTCATTCTGTGCCGTTCCCCAGCTTCTCCGAGGCCCTCTGCCATGTTCCACCGGGGTGGCTCCTCCTGGACGCAGACGGCAGTGCTGTGGTCACTGGTTCCACCACCCCAAGAGCTCACCGCGCTGACAGGCATGTCCAGAGCCTGAGGGCTGGAGGCCAAAGAAGACAGGGTGGAGCGCTGCCGAGCTGACGGAGCGGCTGTGTCACCCCTCTGCTGTCTCTCCTTGGACCAGGAGTGCGCACAGCTGCCTTGCCCGGGGTTACGGAAGCTTGTGGGGCAGGGCTCAGGGCTGTGGGCACAGCAGCGCCTGCCCGTGGGGCCGAGTCCACTTCCATCACCGAAGCAACACCACGGCCACGCTGCCCCCACCACTCTGCCCAGTCCCTCTCCTCCTCTTAGGCTGCCCGACTCTCCCTGCTTGCTTTCTGCCGGAGGAAGAAGGGAGCTCTGTGGGGACGCGCAGAGGAGCCTGAGCTTTCCAGCCGCGCCCTCCGCCTTCCTGGCCCCAGGCTCCGCGGATTGCAGAGTTCTCAGCTCCCAGCGGGGTGCGGCTTCGGGCGTGGGTGGGGGCGGCCGCTGCTTCTTTCGGTCCTGCTCTCTGCAGAAGGTGGCTCGCTGCTCTCTGCGGGCTGGCAGCTCCCACTGAGGTCTGCGTGGGCTCTGTTCCTGTAGGCTGCAGGGACGAGCGTGGTTGGGAAGTCCTTGGCTTCTTGGTAGTGAGAAGATTTCAGACTGAGGATAAGATGAAACAGGTTTTCCCCTCCTGTGCCTCCTGAATCCCAGTAACAACGCCCCCCAGTGGATCTGGGTCGGGCTGTTTAACCCCTTCAGACCCGCTGGGGAGGTGGGGCTCTGGGAGAGTGGGAGGGGGCGCTGCCTTCTCCAGCGCCAGGGCGCTTTCTGTGACTCCCGCCTGCTTCTGTAACCTTGGCAGCGCAGCCCTGGCTGGGCCCAGCGCCTCCTGTGCCCTCTCCAAGTTCCCTCTTCCTTATAAAACCCAGCTGCCCGTTGGGGCTTCTCTCCCCGTGTTTACAGCTGGTAACTGACTTTCAGCGTTTCCCAGATTCCTGTCTCCTCCTTCATTTAGTGAGGAAATGATTGCCTTTCCTGTTTTCCATTCACTTCACGTATTAGCTGCCATGTTGTGCTGATTAATGGCCCCTCAAATACGCTGGTTATGCCCTGGCAGTTCAAGGGAGCATTTGCCCAAAGCTAGGCAAGTCCTACATCACAGCCAAGTTCAGGTGCCTGGGACTGGGGTGGACACATTCCCGCTCAGTCTCATGGCTAATGTCTTAAACCTTTCAGTTGTCAATGTCAAATCTAGGTTTCTAAAAGCTTTCTGTTATTTAATTCCTGCCAGGAATTAGTTAGTTTCCGTACAGACTGCCTGCCAGGACCACCCTGAATGGTGCAGGTGGGGGAAGGGTGTGCCGAGGTGTTCTGTCCCTAAGACTTGAGCTACACCAGGTTACAGAGGCTGCCTGGTGAAGTCTGAAAGACGGCAGGCCAATAACGAAAAGATTATTTTTGTGGCCTGTGAGGCTGGTGAAGTCGAGCAGAAGAGAACCTGGGGAGATGAAGAGAGCAGCTGAGGGTCGAGGGTCAGACTGAGTGAAGGACAGGTGGGCTGAGGGCCAGCTGAGGCTCAGCCAGCCACACCTGCCCCTTATCACATCTCGGGGTGCTTCACTGGAGGGGGAACATGTTCTTAAATGACTGCTGTTAGTCATCTGTCGGGCTCAGCCCCAAGGTGCGCTAGGACTTCTCGAGAGGAGGGGCTTACTGGTGGCCATCTGTTTGAAGCAGGTGTGTAGAGCGACGCTGGGGGACCGTTTTCGAAGCTGCCTGGCACGGGGGGCAGACTGTCCTTGTGAGAAAGGGGGAGAAGAGCATGGCTCCTGGAGGCAGACGGCCTGAATTCAAGTCCCAGAAACACTGCCTGGCTGTGTGATCCTGGACGAGGATCCTCTGTGCACCTCAGCTTCCTTATGTATGAATCGAGGTTAATAATTTGGGAGAGTCCTTTGACAGATCTGTCCTCAGAGCTTAGTGGCCTGGCCACTGGACTGGGGTCTAGGGTCAGGGGTCTTCTTATGAGACCGATTGGCAAGAGTGTGAGGGAATGGCAGGCCCCCGCCTAGGTCATTCAGAAAAGGGGGCCCTGGGGACACCAGGCAGCACAGGAGCCCCCTGGGGGCACTGGATCCTGGCTGAGGTTAGCAGCAGACAGGAGTCTGTCAGTTCTCAGGTGTCGTGCTAAGGCCCTGGGGCCAGGAAGGACACTGAACTACACAAAGTGAGTTAGGCCCTGCCTGCTTCTCAGGCCTGGCATTACGTCTACGGCTTCATGGAAGGCAGACCCAGGCTCCACCCTGGAGTTGCCAAGCTGGACACATCTGGAGGTTCGGGTGGGAGTCTGGTGAGCTTTACTGGGATGACCACAGGCTCTGACGGAGGAGTTAGAGTCAGCAGAACTGGGAGAGATGAGGTGGAGCTCACACTGGAATCAGCCTGCAAGCTCTCACATCTTTGGGGGTTGATTCTGACTGTATTGGTTTGCTAGGGCTGCTGTCACAAAGCCCCACAAATGGGGTGACTTACACAACAGAAATTTGTTGTCGCGCGGTCCTGGAGGCCAGAAGTCCGCGGTGAGGGCTGGAGGAGGCTCTGCCCCAGGCCTCTGTCCTCACTCCCGGTGCTTTGCGTCCGGTCCTCGGTGTTCACAGGCTTGGGATGCACCTGCCACCTCAGCGTACCCTCCCCCATTGGCTTCCAAGTCCACGTAGTGCCCTCTCTGTGGTGTGTCTGCTTTTGGGTCCAAAGTTTTCCTTTTTATTGGCGACCATGACAACATTGTCATGGAGCATAAACTCACTTTAACTTGATTCCCTCTGTAAAGTCCCTGTTTCCAGGAAAGGTCGCATTCTGAGGCACTGGGGTCAGGGCCGCAACATGTGTTCCGAGGGATGCGATCCAGCCTGGAACTCCGACCACACGGGGACTGGCTGGAGGCAGAGCTGGGGCAGGAGCCATCGCCGGGTTCAGGATTGCTGAGGAAGGACCTCTCGGCTCCTCCTGACACGTCTCCAGACTCTTCGAACAGCACTGGGACATTACAACTCCCAGGCGTAATCAGGAGGCTGGTCGTGAGGAAGCAGCGGCTTTAAAAACGGAATTCTGCTCCTACAAGCGGGGGGGTCCCGGAGAAAGGAACCAGCGTGCCTACGAAGAGAGCCCTTCGGGGAGCTCTTGTCTTGACGGACCCAGGCGGCTGAACCCCGCGGGAGGGACGAGCATGTAGCAGCACGTGCAGAAGGAAGCTGAGAGTGAGACGCCCGCAGAGAGCCTCGGGGCAGTAAAACGGGCTTAGCTTCGCAGAGTGAGGAGGCCAGGCGGGGGAGAGGTGGTGAGTGTGGACCAAACGCCCCGTGAGCGTTTCGCTGTATAGACGTGTAGCCAAGGATCGTGCTCAAAACCTTAAGATCCCACAGCGTTCCACATCAATTGTATCTCGATAAAACTGGAAAAAAACGAAGTGTGAGTTGAGCAAGTAAAAAAAAAAAAATAGTGATTTTTGTTTTAAATAATCTTCGTTATAAAAAATATCAAATACGGAGGAGATAATTCACGGGCAGAAGACACGTGTCAGGAGATGACAGTGGGCAGCTGTCCACTTTGCTCTGGCTTCTATAACAGAAAGAACAACTTTCAAACCGTAAAGGCAGATCAGAGACGGGTGAAGAGGAAAAGCAGCCGAGGACAGACGAACCGACAGACAGAAATCACCTCGCTGTCCTAAACGAGTTCAAAATTGTACCCTGGACTCGGGGTTGGCAAGTTTTTTTCTGCCAAGGTGATATTTCAGGCTTTGTGGGCCACGTGCCCTTGGCTGCAATTACTCAGCTCTGCGTTTGTAGAATGAGCGCGGCCACCGACAGTTTGGAAATGAGTAGGTGTGGCTGTGTTCTAATGAGACTTTATTTATAAAAAGCGGCAGCTAACCAGATTTGAGCTGGCCTGTAGTTTGCAGATCCCTGCACTGAAGCAATGACACCCCCAGAAAATGAAAAGACTCGCCTCCGAGGGGCCCTACAGGGAAGAGGAAGCCTCGGGACCCTGGAGAAAGCCGAAGACGAAAGGGGAGATTCTGAAGGCTGCAGTCCGCTCGCCTTCACTTGCTTCTGAAGCGCCTTCAGAACAAGTGAACAGATAATCCTCTTCAGCAAGTGTTATGCAAACACCCACGTCACACTGTTCCAAGTTCTCGGTGGTAAACACAACACAGACGTGGTTTTTGCCCTCAGGGAATTTTTGGTCTCAAAGAAGAGACCAGAAGAAGTGAAGTGACTGCAGGCGTTGGAGGTCCTGGAA